GACGCAAATCAGAAGAGATAAGAGCGTTATCGCTGGAATATCACGGGAGCGGAGGCTTGGTCCCCCAGAGACTGTTTATGTGAAGGGACTGTATAAAACCAACTTTGTAGCTACCTGAATGTCATAGATCTCTTAATTAACACCGTTATTGTTTGATATTTCAGAATATGAGTAGCTAGAAAGAGGAAAGGGTCAATCCATCTCCAATGGATTTAATATAGAACTGTCACACAAAAACATGTTAAAATAGGTTGTTCGAGCCGTGTTTTTAATGACAATCACGTAGTCTGAGGATCCGAGACTCAGCTATGTGGTTGTGTTCGCATGTAAACGAAAGCTGATCAAAAGTCGTTTGACTGATGGCCTAAAAATGGCAACTTTTTACTTTGCCCTAGACAGACCAGAAAATCAACTGGCAAGGTCGAGACGGTGAAAAACGAGTAGGATTAAGGTAACTGACGCCTGCCAGTCGTTAATAGGTACTTTTTCTACGCTCCGTCGCTGTGTAGTATTTGGGCGAATGTTACAGCTCCTGGGTTACCTTTTGTGACTGCAATCGAAACAACTGTAGACTCGTTTTTAACAGAAATACCTTTGGGGGAAACCCCTTGTGATTTATCACTAAATCCAATATAATAATAATATTAATTTATAATTGTTTTTGAAATTTGTCAAATACAAATGATTGATGTTTTTGAAACGTTTCGAGCTTTTTTCAGGTGAACTCACGTTTCAGTTTTTTTAGTCCTGTTAGGTTGGGGTCTTGCGAAATTAAATTAAATTGTTCTTTAATTGTATATCTTTGTCTTTCCTGAAAAAATGTCTGAATTCGTTTTTCTTTTCAACAGTGTGCTGTTTACTAATATTTTCATCGCATGTATTCTGCATAGCAGGTAGACTTAAAACGTCGGTCGGAGTCAAATTTGATTGTTTAGTTCGTTCAATTTTGAAAAAGGTTTTGCAACCTTTTCCTATCTGATTTTTCAAATTTTTTTCTTGACATGCATTTCTTCCATAGCCATTGGTGCGAAGCTCTGCTTCATCTGTGTCATGTTTGAGTTTTCTAAGGTCTCTCCATATAGAATGAAGGCATTCCGCTTCCCTTCAAATTCGATTTTCTCGCACTCGTTTGGAGCTGAGCTCATTTTATTATTCGTAACCGTCTTTTCCACTGCTCTGAGATCCTTTGGTATATCATCTGGCCTTTTGTTAGATACTAACATATTCAACTCGTCTGCAAAATATATCGATCGCTGAATTTTAATGCGTCATTAATAAAAATACAGTTATAAAGGCCCAAGCAGCGATCCCCGTTGGACTGTACTAGTAATATCCACAGTATCAGACTAGGCTGTTTGCTTGGTATTTTCCTCATTCTTCTAGAGGTTATACGCTTGCAAACCAGAGTACCGATTTTTTTTTCGGGTTAACAACTTGTTTAACAGAATCACATGTAACAGACCAAGAATTGTTTTCAAACTAGAATTATTCTTGTCCAAAAAATTCGGCCTGTTTCAACAATTGTCAGAAATTACACAGCGACGGAGCGTAGAAAAAGTTACCTATTGACGACTGGGACGTCAGTTACCTTGATTCTACTCGTTTTTTACCGTCTCGACCTAGTCAATTGATTTTCCGGTCTGTTTATGGGCTAACCATCATCTTACCGCTTTTGACCATCAGCCAAACGAATTTTATTCAGCTTCCCTTTATCTGCAAAAGTAGTTTCAAAGCTTGGTCTGGGATCCCCAGACAACGTGATTATCACTAAAAACAGGGCTAGAAACCATAATCAAAATATTTTTAGTAACAGTTATATGATGACTTTTTCCTCGCCCCTAGTTACTCATGCTCTGAAATAAAAAATCATAATTGATTTAAATTGTGCGTTCAAGTCATTACAGTAGCTAAAAGGTGCTTAATGTTTGCTATAATAGTCTCTGGGCACCGGGCCTCCAATTCCAATCTCTCCCACAATTAACGTCGTTACATCCTGATTTTTACTGCTCGTGAGGGTTCGGAGCAGTCCCGAATATCCCACTGGACCTTCCGGTTCCACTTGCTTTCACAACTAACCTCTTTATCGTGTCTGCGTATCACACTAGGAGCCTTCTGTTGTATCTGTTTCAATCAAATTTATCTTCTGGCTGCCGAATGTTCGTCGTCTCGTATCCGGCGGTTGTGTTTGACAAGTTGTCGTAATTAAGATGGCGGTCTTTTCGCATTTTTGAGAAATACCCTGGTTCTAATAGAATGTTTGAGCTCCAGAATATTTCCTCCAAAATGTTTCTGCTTTCCTTTTCATTACGATCTCAGCAATAAGGCTTTTATCGACGTTTTATCCGTTCGACGGAAGGTTCCGCTGTGCCATCTAGGGAAATGGCACATACAGTTTGTCTGTTTGTTTTATCGATTTAGTTGCCACATAGTAGAATTATAATTTTATCCTTAATTTCCAATCTAGTTGCTTTCAGTGTTTTGAATTTTTTAGGGTTTTTATTTTTACAATCCTTTATTTTGTATATTATGCTGTTTTCGTTTTTCTTTCATGTTGTTTTCGTCGGCTCATCTGTTGCTTTTAATTATTTTGTGAATCTCCTTTAATTGCCTTCGATTGTGGTCTTAACGTTTTTTCCGGAAATAGAACATGATTCCAGACAATTGTGAATATTTTTTAAGTTTTGTTTTGGAGTGGCCTTCTATTTTTTTGGGCTTAGTGGCTGAATTTTTCCGTTTGCTAGCTTGCGCTGCTAATTTTATGTTTAATCGCAAATGGTGCGAAGCTCCGCTTGCATTACAACATGTAATGCAACATGGTTGACTTTGCAATGCAAAACCGAGGGCATCTCACTAGCTGTTTGCTGGAAGAAAATGGGCGTTGGACCTTGTATCTAGACTTGTTAATATTTCATTTAAGTATATTTTTGAGGTAGTGAAGTTTTTCAATATCGGATTCCCAGGCTTCTTATCTTTGAGGTTAAACTCACCTTTGGAAAAAAACAGATTGAAAGTAGCCATTGACCATTGTAACTTTTTCTCCAACTGATGAAATGCATTTGCCGTCTTTGACAATCGATTTTTGAAGGTTTTCATTTTTGTGCAGATTTTTTAGATGTTTGTATGTGAGCTGAGTGTTTCGAGTACCTATCACCATTTCTTGATATTAAACTCGATCTTCCTTTATTGCTTTGTTCATATATAATTCTAACTTCAGTGAAGGAAGTTTTTGCGATAGTTCGTTGGTTCGAGTTTGCGTTTTTCATTTTTTCATGAAGTTTGAGGTACAAGGTGTAACTCAAAGCGGACGAGGTTGACATTTAGTTCTCCTGGGTTGTTTTTCCACTAAACCATGCAAGTGTTCGTGAAGCTCTTCGCACATGTTATTTTTGTTAAGGTGACAAACCGGATCGAAAGATTACCTTTGTTCGCGTTTCGTTGGAGTCGTCGGCACTGCCAAAAATTTTATAGTTTTGAATGTTAGCTTTTCTATCCTGACGAGGACACTCAAGTAGGATGTCGATAGTCTTGACCTCTGAGCAGTTGTAAATTCCAGTTAACTTTTCGTCGATACTTGCTTATATTTACAGCTTTTGAAAACATCAGATCCAGGATATTGTTTCCTCACGTTGCAAATCTTACTGCCTGTGTAAAATGATACTTTTCAAAAATTCCTCTAATTTGGTGTTCTTGGTTGTCTGGGCCACTACAATCATTCCAATTTGCGCTTTGGAAATTAGCATTACTACAAAGAATCGTTGCATATGGTTTTGGAAGTTCCGTCAGAATTTTATGAATTGTTTTGACTGTAACGGTATTTGCTGTGGCTAGTTTGGCTGTAAAAACATAAACAATAACATGTTTGTTATTAATGATGATGTGGCACGTAATGCAAAATTCGGGCTGTTTGTCGGATATTACTTTGGATGATAGTGTTTGTGTCACTGCTATTAACACTCCATCGTGCAGATTGTTCTGTCGATACTGATCCTTCAGATCTGTAATTATTGTATCAGTTAAGAGGCAGTTCTGATGTTACAATGTTTTTTTTTGCTCAACCAAGTCCTTCATAAACAGATGATGTTGCAGTTTATTGTTGCTATAGCATCTGCAAATTTCCTTCTCCGTTCTAAATTTTTAAGACTTCTCGCATTATTTTGCAAGATACTGACGAAAAATAGTCAAGTATTTTCTTCTTTTCAGCTTCCATTACTACTTTTTCCGTCATTCAGTAGTTCCAAACTCCGGATTTTTTCGTTTGGATTTCCCTCGTTTAAAAGTTCTCTTCTTCATTAAAGCACATTATTTCTTTCATTGCGTCTTGTTTTGACAGAGCAGGTAACACATAGATGGGTTATTGTTATATTTTCCCATTTTTCAAAATTCCAAGGTTTTTACCTGACCTGATTGAAACTTTTTTGAAGGAAGTGTGATGTAAGTGTGTTATTAAACTTTTTGACCAGCTGATTAACCTTTAGAAAAGAGCTAGATGATTGATTGATGATTGATTAAAACTGAATGATGATAGTGATTCGGAGAAATTAACTCTTTCTTTCTTTCTTTCTTTCTTTCTTTCTTTCTTTCTTTCTTTCTTTAAAAAAAATTGTTTCAAACCGGTTTACATGGTTACGCAATTGTCGAGAAGCTGAGCTTAATATCTAAGGCTTTTTTTAAATCGCACTGCACTAATGCTTATTCTGGTGATAAAAACAATAGTCTCTGTTTTTATTGCCAAAATTCGTGACACGAAGAGAGCTGTTGTTTGATTCTTTTTTTTTTTCGAAATCATGCGATAACATTAAACAGTCAAATTATCCTGAATCATGTGTGAAAATTCTAGTTTTACTTTTTGTCGCCTTGCTATATTACGGTCAGACGTTTCATGGCTTAATGGGTGTTTGTCGACATCTAAAACTTGTGACGATAGTTCCTTTGATTTAATCTGCTGATAATATACATCTAAAGACAAAAGAATAATATCAGTTGGTATCTAGAACTCTTTCAGTCAGTCCTGTTTGAGCACTTGAACAATTTAATCGTACGCCTCCGTCAAATCAATTCTTAATCATTTCTCTCTTCAGGTTTATCTGACAGGAAGACCAAGAGACCAAATTATTTTTGTATTATATCAATCATGACACCGCATGCTGCAAAATTTGATACTCCAAGACGAAGAGGTCGCTCGCCAACTAGCTCGCCTGACAAATCAAGTGATGACGCCTCGCCTTCAAAAGACTTCCGTAGATCTCATAGCGTATGCATTGCGCCAACTAAAGACGGCAAACAGCACTCGAGAAACATCGAGAAAATCGTTTTCTCAGATGACGGAAAAGTGAAGTTCTACGACGATGGCAACTTATCAATTGCACCTCTTTGGTCCTACCACACCTTTAGTGTTCTTGTTGTCATGATTTCTATTCTTGTTTATGAAGCTTTCTTTGTATCAGTAAACGATGACACATCGTATAATGTTAGACGAGGCGTGTTAGCCGGTGCTATTGGCTACATCTGTTACGGCCTTACTCAATGTGACAGTGGTCCATTTCAAAGGCCGCATCCAGCATTCTGGAGGTTCTTTGTTTGTGTTTCGCTTCTATACGAGCTCGGAGTTATTTTTATACTCTTCCAAAATATCGACGATGCTCGATCGTTAGTGTGGGAGTTGGATTCTAGTTTAGGACAACCTCTGGAGGAGCAAAGCTACGGAGGAAGTTGCGATCTTTGGGATCCCACTTTGGATGATCCAATGGGAAACTTCTGGGGCAAATGTGATGTGTTCATTCTCGCTCACGTGGCTGCTTGGTGGGCCAAAATGATGATTGTCAGATCGGTGTGGCTTTGCATGACAATGAGCTTTCTCTTTGAGTGCCTCGAATACAGCTTAGAACACCAGTTGCCTAACTTTGCCGAATGTTGGTGGGATCACTGGATTTTGGATTTTGTTGTCTGCAATGGTCTGGGTATTTGGCTTGGAGGAGTATGCTTGAAGTATTTGAATGCAAAGAACTACCACTGGCGAACCCTTTGGAGCATACCGTCAATGAAAGGGAAAATTTCACGGGTATTCCTTCAGTTCACACCGTACTACTGGACCGAGTTTCATTGGAATCCGTTTCTGAGTATCCAGAGATATGTGAGTTTGACAGCTGTTGTCTGGCTCTTTCTGATAGCTGAGGTGAATTCTTTCTATCTGAAAACTTTGTTTTGGATTCCGCCACCTCATTGGTTGAACATTACTAGGCTGATCATTCTGAGTTTTGCAGCTGCTTCCAGTTGCGCTGAGTACTACGCCTTCACAACAAATGCGAAATGCGTCAAAATTGGTCACCAAGCATGGATTCTGATTGCTATTGTCGCAACAGAAGTTCTCGTTGTCTGTAAGTTCTCAAAAAACGTCATCACTCTACCACCGCCGAGTTATATCATCTTGTTTTGGTCTATTGTTATATCATGCTGGCTGGCCTACGCGGTTCATCAATTTATAGTGCCAGCGATTGCCAAAGTGCTCGCCAGACGAAGTCTTTACTTCAATAAAGGGTCTAAAATGACCACAGCTACCGATTGACTCCGCAGTGTTACATCAAAAATACAGTTGACTTCCGCAGTTTTGACTTGCGGATCCATTAATTGTGCTGTCATCAGTTATCTACAGTTATTGTGATTTTATTTTGTTGTACATAGAGTTTATATAATCTTTCTTTATAAAATGCCTTATATCAAATACGTATCATAGTATATGCCTTGAATTTGTACATTTGCCAATCGTATAATCAGACCTCAGTGTCAGATATCACCATATCACTGGTGCTTCTATTTCAAATGCTCAATTTGACTATCATTTTTTATTTGTAATTTAGTGTGTTTCATTCCGAGTAAGCATCTCACAAAATGTTATTATTAAAACATCATGGTTATAACAAAGTATCTTAATCTGGTTAGATGATGCCTGCTCGTTTCATGTTTTTCGGACTATGTCTTCCGGTTTGCATATAATTTAGTTTTTATATAAATTGTCGACTCGTGTTTCAATGTAACCAAGTTTGTATATAGAACTAATGAAAATGTTTGAAAACAAAATGGTCTTAGTGAGTTACTCACATTTGAATCAGTTACTTGAATCAGAACAGTTGCGAGTTACTTGAATCAGATTTTGAACAAGGTTTTGTCAGTTGCGTTTGAGCTCACAGTAAGATAAAAATAAGATTATTCAATCGGATGGCCGAAATTTTGGTAAGCATCAAACTAAGTCGAAGTTAAAACAAGTGCACCCAGTAAATTGTTGTCTTATCGATTGATGAACTTAAAGATTGTCTTGCACACGTTTTTTATAAAAACATTTAAAACAGTTTCAAGCAGAGACATACAAATTAAACATGAAAAAATGAAATGACCAGTATTCTGTGTGCTCCATACTTTTTTGGTAACCAGCCAGAGGCCTAACCCGAAGATTAATTGTTTAAGGTTAACTAAGCCTTGTTTATTTTACAAAAGGACCTCACGTTGTAAATTGCAGCGCACGTGCGAGTTGAACCCGCAATCAAATGATTTCTGGGCACCATCACTACCGATGCGCTCAACGCCATATTGAAGAAAGCATTTTTTTTGTTTCTCGGCTAGCGAAAGTAGTTTGTTCCAGTTATATTCAAGTCGGTTGAATTGTTTTCAAGAGTGCAAATCATAACTGGAAATGCTCATATGAACGCATCGAACGCTTCGTTGAGTTGATGCAATTGAGAAAGAAGAACACATTTATACGAAATGCCTTCGATCCTCCTAATGCACGACCGGGATAGTTGGAACTTTTAAATGTTAGAGGAGTAATAATAACTTCGTCATAATAAATTCGCTGTTCGTTTTCACAGAAAATTAGTTCAATTTTCCGCTTCCGTTAGTTGTTTTTTTTTGTCTGCGTGTTTAATTTTTTGGCTAGTTGTCATATATATCTAAATATCTACCTATCTATCTATCTATACTAAATTTAATATATCTACCTATCATCTATCTATACCATGTTTAAACGTATAAATTTTTGCATGTTTGACGAAAGAATTTTTGCGCGTTGAAGATATTTCCTATATTGCAATGCTTGAGAATTTTTTAAATCGTTTTCCCAGTTTTTGAATGCCAGGTTAATTTGAAGGCCCTTAACAATATTTGAGAATTTTTTAAATCGTTTTTCCAGTTTTTGAATGCCAGGTGAATTTGAAGGCCCTTAACATTATTTGAAATTCCCAATCCTATAATTGGGTACTGTCAGGGCGATCTCATTGGTTTGAAGTCTTGCCTCAAATTATGACTGCAATAAAACCTGATAGTTTCCGTGATATGCCGTTTTTATGATATTTCAATTTTTGTTTCAAAATACTTAGATTTAGAGAATCCAACCGAAATTGTAAATCTAAACTCTGGGATGGGGTGTTTTCCGGGTACACTATGGGTTGCAATTCTGCACTCCAAATGTGACTGCTTATGTCCTTTTGAATTTTAAAATTTAGCGTTTTTTGCTCAGATCTTGTCAGTAATCTCAGATCCAACTAGCCATCCATCGATTTATTCATCCTTCCACTGATCTTTGAGACAAGCTATCCATCCATTTAGCTATCCTTCCATTAGCTTCCATAGTGCTTCCTTACATCAATTCTACCATCAATCCAGCCATCCATCAATCATTCCATTCTTCAATGCTACCATTCAACCTTCCAATATTTCCATCCTTCCATCCATCCATCAAAGCAATCCATCCAACCAGCCATCCGTTCATCAAGCCATCCATCCACTCAGCCATCCATCCAATCGTCAGCCATCTCTCTATCCAGCCATCCATCCAAAAAGCCAGCCGTCCGTTTACCTTCCCGTCAGTCCATTAATTCGTCAAGCGGCTAAGATATCCATCATGTCATCCATCCATTCATCTAGCAATTTGTCCGACCAGCTATTCATCTAGCCGTCCATCCATCCAACTAGCCATTCATCTAGCCGTCCATCTATCCAACCAGCCATATAATTCATTCTTCCATCCATGCCTTAAGTTAGCCGGCCATCGATCTATCCAGCCATCAATTCATCGAGCCTTTCAGTAATTAAGCACTTCATCCATTTAGCCATCGATCCATCTAGAAGTTCATCCATCAACCAATCCAGCCACGATCCATCGATATAGCCTTCCAATCAAAGAATCAGCCATCCATCTATCCTGCCATCCATAAATTTATTCATCCAACCAGCTTTCAATCCCGCCATTCAACCAATTATCCTTTCATCAAGCAATCCATTCAGTCAGATAGCCAACCAGTCGTCCATACATCTAGCCAATCATCCATCGACTAACCATTTATTCAACCAAGCATATGTATTAGAAGCCATCCATACAACCATCCATCTAACCTTCAATTCATTCAGAGTTATATGCATCCCGCCATCCATGCACCCACGCATTCCATTATTCATGTTACCCGCCATCCATGCATCCCTTTAGTCTTGGATCCAGACATGTAGCCCTCTGTCCAGCCAATTGTCTATTTTACCATCCAACCAAGCAGTCATCCATTAATGCAGCCATCATTCAGCCATCATGCAGTCATCCATTGCTCCAACCAGTCATCTATCCAACCTGTCATCTAGCCATGCACTCATCGATCCCTCCCGGTCTAGCCCATCTCTAAACTGTTATGCATCCACTCAACCGACCATTCTTTGAACCACCATCTAGCCATTCAGTCATTCATCCATCATCCTGCCTTCCATCCATCCATCCAGTCAACCAGCTATCCATCTATCAGAGTGGAATCAAAAGTGTTTTAAATTGATAGAAAACATCAAAAAATGTTTTTTTAAGTCACTCAATGCTCTCAAACACGAGGCAAGCTTTGAAACTTCTTCGTATCCCAATCGGTTGTGGAGATCAGTGTGATTAAATTCTATTGACGAAAACACTAGTTCCACGCCAGTTGAACTTGGAACAAGGGTCTTAAGTTTAATGGCAAGGTCAGTCAAGTCGATTTCCATAGCACCTGTTGTTTTAAGTGTTCTTTGGAATTTTTGAATCTTGCAGTCCGGAGACTCTTTGAGTTGACGCCCTATTCTGTCTTTTTCTCGGCCCGTGTAATCAGTGAAGCTAGCCATCACAAGCGGCGATTCATCTCGTATCCATTGCTGTGGATCACTTCACTCTTTGTTTGTTAAACATTTCCCTGCTTTTTTCGGGTGCAATTTTATTCGCTAAGGACCAAACTTCCGGGACTGAGTTGTTGAACCTCAGTTGCGTTTTTCAAGCCATTCTCAGTTTTGCCACCCTTGACTTCAAAAACAGTCTATCAAATCTTTCGAAGTTTCGAGAGTGTCTGCAATTGATACTCGATCTTCTTGTATTTGATCCAATGCGACGGACATTTAAACAAGTTGCTCCTGTGTCGAAGTACACATGTTGTTTCTCAATAACCTTCTTCATCTTCGGCCTTTCCTCAACATACCATTCAAGAAGCCTGCAAGCTGAGTTCCATTTTGTATCACTTGGAAATGGCGGCTTGCGTGCTCCTTCTTCTTCAAGCCAGGCTTTCGGTAGATGTGTGTTGCGAAAAATCTTCGCAAAATCTATTACCTGCTTTGCAACTGCAGTGGGAATAAGATCTTTTGCCCGCAGATTCAATTCATGCCGCACAGCCATACTGAATCATACTGGTGTTGGCGGATACAGTTCGCCTCATCCTCGCCATTTGTTTGCATTATCTGTGACTACTGCAACTACTGTTACGTCAAACTTCTTCTGCCAGTTTGATTTGCTGCTCTGCTAACTCGGAAATATGCTCACTGGTATGCGCATTTCCGCTAGTATCTGCAGATCCAACTATGTATACCTTGTTGAAGAACTGAATGGACGTCGTGACAATTGGTTCGTTCGACACATTTCACTAGCCGTCAATTGATAGAGGGTGACATTTGTACCTTTCAAAGATTCTTTCGACTTGTTTTCTAAGTTTGAATGTAATGTATCCATTATCCCGCTACTAGGTTTTTCTCGTGAAGGTGGAATATATCCTGGATGAATACTCTCAACAATAGTCTTGAAATTCAGAGAGTCAACTGACCTGAATGATATGTTGTTAGCTAAGTAGAGCTTGCCAATTTGCTCATAATACCTCAGACTACCTTTGATTGTGCAATTTTAGTTGAAACAACATATCTGGTAAGTTATGGTTGTTTGGCGCTTCTTCGTGCTTTATGAACTACGTTGCGAGAACTGGAGATCGAGCTGCTGCCTGTGGGAAACTCGTTGTGCTTGGAATTGAATATTTTTTCAAGCGCTCAACTAATGCGGCTGGATTGTTGTTGCAAAGCCTGCACTGGGCTTGGTTGCTGTCTAATCTGACGAGAGGCACCCTTATCGGGTCAATTGGTCCTCCGGCATACGAGCGCGTTCCCATCTTTTCATACTAGACGCACTCGCTCACAATGTCAATCTGAAGTAAGCTTGCATAGATAAACAATGAACACAACAAACCAGCCAGGAATGTCAAATAAACACGTGCAAACAACAGCTAACGCAGAAAGTTCTGCGTCAGAAAACCCTGGACTATAGATTACTCCATTGAATCTTGTTGGCTGAGCCGGGCTCGAACTCGGGCGTGGGGCTGTGAAGCAATTGCTCCATCTACTCGGCCACGCGGTAGCCTTATCTCAGCAAATAAACTAATTAAGTATCAATTGTATACAGCATACAAACTAAATACAATTTAATAAGCAGATGCATTAAGCAAAACGAGGTTATTGAACGCAAAGTAAGGGGAGCAAGTTAATAAATTACATCAATAAAAATATTGAAACTAAACAATTGTTTTAAAACACTGTTTTACACTGTTTTAAAACACCACCACCCTGCCATCTATCAATTTAGCCCAGTACCCATCCTGCCATCTTCCCATTCATCCAGGGATCCACTTATCTCAGCCAGCCATCACTGATCCTGCAATCCATCCGGCACGCCATCCAGACGTTCAGTCAGTCATCCATTCAGCCATTCATCATCGATATAGCCGTCCATCTATCTAGATATCCATCCGCTTCGCCTCTATCATCAAGCCATCCGTCCACTCACAAGCTAGTGCAGCTCACCCTAGGGTCGAACAAGCTCAACTATGCTTGGTCTTAGACCTATTTTTCACGAGAAAGCGAATGGGCTTATCCCGGAAGCTCTACGAGGAAGATTTGTTAACTTAAAAGCCAACTGTCCCACCAGTCTTCCATCCTCGAATGGCACCAACTGGGCGATCATTGTAAATCGGTTATGATTGGTTCAAACTGTTTGATGGATTTGTGTATAAAGGTAATTGTTTGCTCTATAATTTTTCCTACATTTTTTGAATATTGAGGGGCTAAATATTTTTAAAATATTTTTTAAATTGTTGGTTAGTTAAGAATAGTGGGAAAGAGTAGCTTTTTTTTCAAGTAAAAACAGCAATTTCACCGTACACCAGTGCGTGTACAAAGTTGTTTGATAAACACATTGGAAAAAGTTGGTATATGAGGAAAGCTGAATGTTAATTGACCACGTGATTAAAAGCTGAATGTAGTAAAACTGACACCAAGTGGTAAGGGTTAAAATATAGTTTTACTATTTTAATTTGTTGGCATTGTCGCAAAATATATTAATGGGTAAACGCAATTGCAAGTTTCTTTTTAATTGAAAAAATACAGCCTTTTGAGGAGTATTTTTGATCATTTTTGCTTGAAAATGAAAAACAATTCTGATATCAGTCGAAAGAGCACTTGATTTGATCTACAATCTAAAAAATTCAATTGATATCAGGTTGTTCTAAGGTCTACAAATTGTCTCTTCGTTAACTATTCGAGCGTCGTGCAAATTTGCCTGAACGTCGGGAGAAATTGAATATTCGAACCTCGTGAAAATTAAGAAGCTTTATTTCTGTATATTAGAAAAACATTTTGCAAAGTGATATTTTTCATGAGTGATATTTTTTCATAATTAGCCTTTTTGAGCTTTTTCATTCCGTTGGAATGTTTTTGAAGATCGAAGAGTATGGTTTTCAAGACTCCAAAAGTATTAACTGGACGAAAGGAAACGCGAAGTCAAGCTTTTCTTCAAAAATTCTCCATTCATAGACCACTATGAACAAAGTTTCCTTGGGTTAAACACATACATTACTTCGACCAACAGAAAATGAGTTGAGCACCCATCTATAATTCAACTTTTTGCTTCAAGGAATTACCAGTTTATTCATGGTTTAAACATGCCAGTTTCTGCAACCTGTCGTAGTTTATCTCAACGGTGTTAAAAGTTTCAATATGTCTGAGTTTTAAAAAATCTGGCATTTTGAACTCGTTTTTCTCTTGGTTTATTTCTAACTGAATTAACAAAATAATTCTTATCGCTCTGATAATAAAATTTGCTCTCCACTTAGAATTTTTTTGTAGGCAGTGTAAACTGCTATAATCAGAATCGGAATAAACTGGTAAGTCCTCGAAACCTAAAATTGATACTTTTATAGAGAAAAGTAGCTCAGATCATTCGCTGATAGTCGATATAAAAATTTTGATTGCTCACTGAAAGAACGTTGCCCAAAATGGACTTGAATAACAGGGATTTCAGAAAGTGCGCAGCAATGTTTAATGAGCAGAAGTGTTTCGCACAAACCAAAGAAACTGAGTGCGGTCTGTATTTAGACAACCGCGGTCTCTTTCCTTTTCCCCCACCTACAAATTTTTATATTTAAAATTACTGTTCACATTGTCCGATTGTCATGAAAATCGACATGCAGACTTATTAGGCCATAACAAACATATTTGGTTTTCATAATCAATCTTCTAAAACCACTCGTTAGACCGTAAAATTGATGCTCGTGTGAGGTGGGGGGGGGGGGGGGGGGGGTGAAGAAAAAGAGCACAACCGCGTATTCCTATTCAGTAAGCAGACAAATACTGTATGAACCAATCAGAATCGAGATGGGAAAGCAAACTTACGAAATAAACAATTATCATTTATATTTTTCTTCCTTGTCTCGATTCTGATTGGTTAATACAGTATTTGTCTGCTTACTGACGAGTAGGGCTCTTTTTCCTTTTCCCCCCACCTCACAAGAGCATCAGTTTTATAGTCCAACGAGTAGTTTTACAAGGTTGAATATGAAGACCAAATATGTTGTTCAAGGCCTGATGAGTGTACATGTCAATTTTCGGCTCTTTTCCAGTCCCCCCCTTTCAAATTCAACTTTGAAAAGCTTATTTAACCTTGTCATAATTCAATGAAATTTGGCGTGGTGAACAAATCAACAACTGTGAACAGATTTGTTCTTCATACTTTACAGCGTAACATCACGCATTTAGCCGTAAAAACACGTAAAACAAACATAAAACTCGCTATTTTGAAAGGTGGGGGGGGGGGGGGACTGGAAAAGAGCCCAATTTTCATGACAATCGGACAATGTGAACAGTTATTTTAATTGTAAAAATTTGCAGGTGGGGGAAAAAGGAAAAAGAGCCACGATTAGGAATACGCGGTTGTCTAAATACTGCTACAAAACCCACAGAAACGCACCCTTTTTATAAACTTCAAATTACGCGATTTATTTCAAGTTCTGTTTTGAGTACGCACTAATAATCCTTTGTATGCGAACACGTGCAATTATATGATAATTTTTGAGACGCTACCAATTTTAAGAACGATTTGGCACAATTCCTCGTATCTGTAAGTTTGGCTTCCATCCTAAGTTAATAACTACACTAGTGGGCAAAAGTAAACCCAAATTCAGGTTTTTACTCTCTAAAATGCCTAATTTCAAGGATCTTTTTCGACAATAGTTGCTTCAAATGTTACGTTTTTTTTCCACCGACAGTAAATGATCTAAGATACCCTCTCTGAAAGTCTCAATGGCTCTTTTGTCTTCCTCACACACCTGCGGATTTGTACAACTCAAACTATTGTTCGCGTTGTCTGATTGTTATGAAAATTAACATGCGGACTAACTAAGTCACGACAAACATATTTGGTCGTCATACTTATCCTTGTAAAACCCTAATTACACCATTAAATTGAGGTGTCTCAATTTTGGATTTGAAGCACATCAGTTTTTTCGGACCTGAAAAAGCTAGATTTCACAATTTGTAATTTTTTTTTCAATATTGTGAAGTTATAAGAAACAAAAGAGTAAGAATTTGTGACACTGAACAATGCCATTTGTTCTTTATAATATTTCCATTGCGTGATCAACTTTTTCTATTTTGCTCATTCAAAAAAATTTTCACTCCCATTTTCAGATCCGGAGCAAAGCTCTTTTTCCTTCCCCCCCCCATAACATAAGCATCAATTTTATGGTGTAACGAGAGGTTTAACAAGGTTAATCATGAAGACCAATTATCTTTGTAATGGCCTAATTAGCTCACATGCCAGTTTTCGTAACATTCGGATAACGTAAACAAAATTTCAGCAGTAAAATTTTGCAGGTGGGGGGAAAAAGGAAAGAGCAAAATTGGCAAGTTCTTCAATTTCAATATAAGATTTTTAGAAAGGGTAGCTCAGATCATGTGAATTCGGTCGTTGTCACAATTTGAGTGAGACTCGAAGCTAATTTATGGCCAAAATTGTCCGCCTCTTTTCCACTCCCCCATTCGAATTTCAGTTTTGAAAAATTATTTGGCTCTTTTTCACCCACCTCACGTGAGCATCCTTTTTGTGGTTTAACGAAGGGTTTTTTAAGGTTGGGTATGAATAGCAAATATGTTTGCCAAAACTTAATTAGTCTGCATGCCATTTTTTTTTACAATCGGACAATGTTAACAGTATGTTTATTAGTTAACTTTTGCAGGTGGGGTGAAAGGTTAAAGAGCCAATTATTTTAACGTTGTCATAATGTAAGGAAACTTTGCCAGGTGAGCGATTTAACTATTGCAACCATTTGTTCTTCATAACTTGCATCGTTACATCACGCATTCAGCAATAATAACACTTGGGACCAAGGAAATTGAAATGTGCATAGGGAGGGGTGAGTAGAAAAAGGCCAATTGTCCTTAAAATCAGGCCTTCCAGAGATTAAAAATCTTGCCCACTACCAGGGACGGGCTCTTTTCCAGTCCCCCCTACGGTTTTTTCTTAAATTCATCATGTGAAAGTCTGGTTAAAATGACTTTTCATAATATGAACTACATTAAAACGTGGCAGCGTGAACAGGTGAACAAATTGCTACAAAATTTCTAACATTGCAACGTGACGTGTGAAGAATTTTTGAACAGCTTTATTTTACGAGGGGGTTGGGAAACTGGAAAGAGGTCAGGGGCGGATCTAGAATGTTCTCGAGAGGGGGGGGGGCTTTTCTCGACTTTTTTTTAAGTCGATCAAATTGATTTTCCGAGCTCTCCCAAAGCACTAAAATGACCTTGTTTTGGTAAGATTTTGCGCCGCTGGCAAAATTTTGGGCTCTTTTTCCTTCCCCCCCCCCCCACCTGCAAGATTTTTCTAGTGAAGTTTTGTTCACTTTATCCGAATGTTACAAAAATTGGCATGCGAACTCATTAGGCAATGACAAACATTTTTGGTCTTCATAATTAACCTTGTAAAACCCCTCGTTGCACCATAAAATTGACGCTTATGTGAGGTGGGGGGGGGGGGGGTTGGGTTGAAGGAAAACGAGCCAAATTTTGAAAAATAGACCAAAAAAGGCGTTTGTAGGCTTTTTTGGAAATTTTGACCAATTTTTTGACCAGGCCCCCGCAAAATTAGTATATATTGGCGCCGAAGAAGCCCTTAGAAAATTTTTAGGGTCAGTCACCAAATATGGATACATCAAAATAGTACAAAGGGGGACCCTTTGGGTCTGTAGGTTGTCGAATCCCTGAGGGGGGGGGCGTCCGCCCCTTCCCCTTAAAACCCGCCCCTGCCGACTACTTTACCTACAAAAATTGCTCTCTACAATTTTCCACTGAATAGCTTGTCTTCCAATTTTATATGCCTTTGATGTTAACTTGGAGAGGAGCCTAAAAATGAGGCCTTTTTTCATTACGAAAAAATATAGTTGCAGTAAAGATTTTTTAAAAAGATTGTCCTTCAGAATTTACTTTTTTTTTCAAAGATTGTCTTTTTCAGAAGTGTTATTTGGAACTAATCTGCGACTAAGATCACCGCTCCAGTTAGAATGGGAGGCGCACCTAGTACTTCTGAATCAAGACCAGTCTCTTCCGCCTCCAACGCCCCTGGGTATAACCCAGACACAGAAACAAAATTGAAGGAAACTACAGCCCCGAAAGTTGACTACGCCAAGACACCTCAGGAACTGCTGGAAGGAAAACCGAGATGCAAATCATGCTGCGCGTGTCCGGAAACACGAAAACTAAGAGACGAGTGTGTTGCTGAGAAAGGCATAGACAGTTGTCAGGAGTTCATAGATGCCCATAATAAATGTATGACCGACATGGGTTTTAACATGGGCACTAAACCTCCATGTGAAGAGAAAAAGTAGGAAGATATTGAATATGTTGACTTGCAATCTTCTGATGACTAATTTGGAATCATTTTGATTTTGAGATTATTGTAACATTGTACCAAAGTTTTATTTTGAATAAAGTTTAAATATGAAAAACATAGTAACATAAGAATGTAAATGTAATTAAAATGTAGCTCTTCGATAGTTACACTTGCCAGACAATGTGTCTTGTTAACGGGAACTGGACTTTTTTCCCGTAAACAACTTTGTCCACAGGACTCACTTCTGAACGTCTGGACTCATCTCTACCTTGTTTCATTATGTATTCATTTTTTTGCGTTCCTGGCCGACAGCATAGAGGTAACGAATATGCCTGGGACGGTAATGGTCCTGGGCTCGAGTCTGACCAGGACTTGTTTTTTTTTTCAAACGGGAAATATTCTGTTTCAAAAAAATTGTCGGCCAATGATTTTCAGCACTCCCCTCCGCAGTTTTCAAGTTGGTTGTATGCTTACCAATCTTTTTGTTGAAGTTTCATTTTTTGTTTTAGAAGTTATTTTTTTCACTTTTTGCAAAATTTTTAGTTTTTCTCAGAAACTTCTCCTGATTTGCTCCTCTGTTTGCCTGCATTCCCCTTTAGAGTTTTTTACCTGACCCCTCTGTCTACAGCCTTCAAAACAGTGCGGGGGAATATTTGATCCATATTTTTGATTTTAGTTTTGTTTTCTCTAAAATTACCTTTCTCAAATATGCGTTTTTGGGTTCAACGGATAGAACTCTTTTAAAAAGCACCCCTTCATTAGTTGCAACGACCAAATTTTTTTGCACACAAGTTATAATCAAGTTTTTGACCGTTTTGTGGATCTTGTCGACTTATTCACCTGGACTTATCATCTTTTCGACCGCCTGGAGTATCTGGCGTAGAGGCAACACACCTGCTTTGTGCTTTTTCGGACTATCGCCTGTCGGCTTAGTTCCTGTAGCCCGATTTTTTTGAAGATTTTGCTTTCTTTTAAGCTGCTCTAACAGCCATGCTTGTCAAAGCCCGGGAGTTCGATTCCAGTCGGGATCTGTTCTTTAGCAAACTGATTTTTTAAAGTTTTTTGTCTGTCTGCTTATTTGTGCCGCCAGTTTTTGACGTCTTTTTTGAAAGTTCGGCTTCGTTCTAGCTTTTTGAAAGCGCCTTGCAAAATTTCTAATGGCGCAGGTATTTTTGTTTGATCTTTTTGGATTTTTTTGCATTTAAAACTTTTTATGATAAAATTTTTCAAGTTTTGTTTTCAATTGATTTTAATCTCTTCTTTGTATCGCAAGTGGTGCAAAGCTCATCTTCGCCTCTGTGTATAATTTTTGAAGATTCTTTTTTCCTAATTGTTACGAGCCTGGATCCTTTTTCCTTGTAAACATGAAACTGTAAAAAGAATTTTTCGAATCGCCTCTGAGCAGACCAGGATTGATGTTTTGCTCTTTACATTTGGCAGATTAAGTGGCGAACTCCCCCAACTTTCTAAATTAACTTTCTGGCTTCTTTCCAGTTTCCTATCGTCTAATCAAAATTCAAAACCGTTTAAAATAAATCACCCGTGTATTTGAATGAAAGAAGTGTTGTTCAAAAATTGTTTACTTGTCCACACAGACAAGTCTCAATGCAGTCAAGAACACCAAAAGTGATTTCGTAGATCGAATTTCAGAAATAATCAATGAGTTCGCGAAAGTGGACTTTAGCTCTAACCAATCATACTAAACTTATAAGCGTCAGCAACTAAACAATATGGAACAGCATTTCCATCTGAGGTAAGAATAATCCAAGCAAATGAAAGCTCCCAAAAATTGTCAAATCGTTGGTGGGATAATTTTGTTACTGGGCTGGGGGATGTAATGAAAAAGAGCAAAGTAATCACCGAGAATTTTCTATTGTAATTTCAAAGAGAGGCTGTGTTGAGAACCTGGCCGGGAAAAGTGTTCGTTTTTGCAATTTGTAATAACAGATTCTTAAGCCATTTTTTATCGACCCCCATGTTTTCAGCTTCCTTCACAGTCATATTATGTGCTTTGACGTTTTCGTGGCCTCACATTAATACAATTTTTTTTATTTTACCAAGTGGTGTTCCTCGGTTTGGTGTGAAAGTGCATGGTAGCTTCATTTCAACATTTAGAATTGGTGATCCTGCAGAATGGTCTGGTTTGTAGTTTCCCAACTTCTTTACACAAGTTAACGTAGTGTAGACAGTCGAGTCAGTTGTCCAGTTTTTCCTAACAAGTGTGCTAGGTTATCTTATGCAAGGCGTTTTCTTGCAACTTCTCAGAGCTATTTTGGGCCGTTTTTTTTTCGCTGGCGCGCTTCTGTTTGAAGTTCTTGCCGATGTTTTTCAAAACTCCTTAATTTTGAAATAGCACACATTGCATTCAAAAAATTGGTTCAAATCAGCAAGCGTTATCAGATCGGAGCATAGTTTTTTTCTGGATCATCAGTGGCTCAATTGATAGACAATTCGTTTCTCAGACCATTTTACGATTCTTTGAAAAATAATTTTGTTATGTGGTTGGAATTTTCAGGTTGTTTTGGTTAGATTAGCGGGACAACTTGTAGTTAGCGTTGATTGCTTTTTGATTGAAAACTTGACTTACTAGAAAAATTGACTGGAAAATTGATTAAAATGAACTCTGTAGATATATCTGACTCTCAATACGATTTGTTATCAAACGAGCAATTCATTGGAAAATTACGCGATGGAAGACTGGGTAAGCACATTTCGCCTCTCAAAGTTTTCTCGCCTTATGAACTTGCGTCTCCGGTAAAAAAGGTTTACGGGGACAGGTTTATTCCGCTAAGAACGTCGCCTCATTCGGTGAACTTAATCCGTCATAGGGTTTCTTCCGGTTCACCTCAAAGCGAGAGGTCTCCTAAAACTCCAAGTTCGAGTTCAACGCATGCTACAAAATTGTCGCCTTATCAAGTGATTTTGTCTGAGCAGTTATTGGAAACAAAGAACGAGCGAAAGGTGAAACGAACTCTCTTTAGCACGCCAAAAGTGTTCAACTTCAACTCCGAGACAATTACCGAAGACCATGAAAATTTCGACCCCGATAATTCGAAGTATTCAGTCGAAAATTTACAAATGTCTACTCCTAGCTCAAGATACCTGTCATCAATTACCGATGATCAGTCACCCAAGATAACGAGATCCCCGGTTCGAATCCTGGACGCACCGAGTTTGCAAAACGACTTCTACCTCAACATTCTGGATTACTCTTCGCAAAATGTGATTGGATTGGTTCTGGGCGATTTTGTGTACTTGTGGAGTGAAGGAAAAAGTTGGCCGCTGTTCAACGCGAGTTCTCTCGGACTTAGTCCGACGTCCCTGTCGTTTAACGAGGACGGTCGGATCCTTGCAATGGGAACCAATAGTGGTGCCGTGCAAACGAGAGACCTTCGCTCAAACACCGACAAGCCTTTGCTGAGTCAAAAAATGCACAAGAATAGAGTTGGCGTTCTTTCGTGGAAGAATGATCTGCTGTTCTCGGGATCAAAATCAGGTCTGATTTGCTGCAAAGATGTAAGAATGCCGATGAATAAAAATGCTCGCGTGTTTACCTCTCACGTACAAGAAGTCTGCGGGTTGAAGTGTTACTTTGACGGGAGTTTGTTAGCATCGGGATGCAACGACAACAAGGTTCTGATTTGGGACATAGGAAGTGGAAAAGTTGTTCACTCTTTCGATCACAAGGCGGCTGTGAGAGCTCTCAGTTGGAACCCTCACCGTCTGGGAACATTGACGACGGGAGGGGGGACTAATGACCAAACTGTGTACCACTGGAGCACCATGACAGGACAGCTGGTTTCAAAGAACCAAGTGGGATCCCAAATCACTGGTGTGTTCTGGTGTAAACATGCAAACTATTACGTCACAACTCAAGGGTACTCTACAAACGATATAATCGTGTGGGATGGAGAGAAGAATGAGAAGATAGCGACCCTGGACGGTCACAGTTCAAGGGTCATTTACGCTGCTTTGGCACCGAACAGTAGCACTCTGGTAACGGCTGCTGGACCTCCATGCAGCACTCTGAAATTTTGGAACGTGTTTCCGAAAAACGACTTAAGCAAAAGAAGTGTTCCGGATTCAGCGCTATATCTTTTCCAAACTCGATAAAGTCGATTTAGTGGTGTTCAAAAAACTGAGGCGGCAACTTAAAATTATGCAATTCCCTAAATTTCAATTCTAAAATGTAACCAATCTAGGAGCTCAGTAAGAGCTTGAAAGTACTTTAAAAATGATGGGAGAGTTTCAAAATTATGATTTGGGTCCAAACTTTGAGTGCAGTAAATTGGAAGCTAGAATCTGATTTATGTTTTGAGATATGTTATTGTTTATTTATTGAGAAATGTTCTTGTTTATGCATATCCTTTGCCTTGTTAGGTTAATCTTTTCTGTTTAGTGCAGTAATTAACCCCAAAATTATTCAAAAAGAACTTATTTGTTGAGCAAAAAATAAAAGTGCCTTACGAGTTCATGGTTTCTTGTAAATGCGGCAGTGTGCATCAAAATATGAAACCCTGCCTAAAATTAGAACCCATGAAAGTTTATTTTAGATTAAATAAATTTGGTTTAAAATGATGTCTAAATTGTTTTAGTTAAATTTCTTTCGAATTGATGATTGTTCTCGAAATTGTTTTCAATATCGATTAAAAAAGACTTTGCGCGCGCATAATTTAGTCTTTCTGAAACAGTTTTTTTTCCAAAAAATGAATAAAAGAAATTTTAAATGTTTTCTAGAAGATTTTTTTTAGAATTGAGCCGAAAAAAAAACAACCGACAGAGCTGAAAAAACATCCGAAAGTTAGTTTAACTGAAATAGAAAGCTCTTACGGCGTAAATAAAAGAAGTTCACCGCCCTTTTATAAGCCTGCTCACTCGCTTTGTTTGCTCGAAAGCAAGACTGACATTTTTTGTTGAATGTCTTAAGATGTCGTTCAAATCACGGCTGAAAGGGTTTTTATATGATTGTTTGTGGCACCTGGTTTTGAAAGAAAACACTTTGAAAAAAAATACCAAAGACAAAGTTTTTACCCACTTTGGCGGTCAGAACAAAGAGGTGGCAAAATGGAGATTTGGTGACTCACGCGTTTGTTCTAATTCGATTCTTTTGGATGCAAAAATTCTATTTCTGTTTTTAACTCGAAAGAATTTTGTTCTGAGTGCCGAAAAAAGTTAGGAATATATATGCTTGGGGTTTTCTTATTCATACTAATTTCAAAAAGAAAAATTTAAATTGGAGATCGAGCCTGGAATCTATGTGTTCCTAAGCAGTTCGGCTACGCACTTTCATTAGTGCAAGGTGATCTTACGTAAATAGCTCGTTAACTATTATGAAGACTTAAAATATGATGTTGAAATTGACAATTTCTTTTTATCCCACGCACAAATTTGCTTCGAATTGAAATCAGGATAGCGATATGGCCATATTTTTTCCATATACGACTCCAATTAATTTAAACACTAGTTTGATATTTAACAGTACAAATTTTATCGTTAATCAGAATTTTCTTTGCCGAAATCAATTGCAGACCAGTAATTCAAGGGCAGCCGGAACATTAGAACTTTGTCTGGGTATACCTGCAGTCTTGATAGAATTTATGATGTAATTAGGCGCCCACTGAAACTCACGGGTAATGTAATTGCTTCAATGAACAAACATTGAGGATCGTGTTAACTATGACCCTATTACAAAAGTGAGAAATTTTGTACAAGATTCATAATTCTCATACGCTAAATAGCATAACTAGTCTTTGGTATGGTTGGAAAGTAGTTACGAGGTATCATAAGGCGAGTTAAATAGGAAATTGAGGCTGTCAATATGATCTATTTAAACTTTTCTGCCAAGTTTATATGTTTCCAGCCAGTTCAATTCGTAAATGAATTTTTTTTGGAAGACTTTGCTTCAAATATTAAAAATCTTTGTTTTATTCTAGGAAAATTAGTTTTGGAAGCTTTATTTTAGCTTCCTTGTCATAAAATAGTTTTAAAAAATTCAGAAAAAATTTGAAACAAAAAAAGTTCTGATATTTTTTCATTTTTTGTTCGGTTTTCGAAAACAACTTTTTTTATCTTTCGTTTAAGGTCGGAGATTTCTGTGTTACTTGCTCAGCAAACGGATATCGTTGTTCGTTTTTTTTTATTTGCGATCTGCAAGTATGTTGTAAGCGTGTACTAGGCTTTTTTCCCTGTGAATTACTTTCTTCACATAATGGTGAATTCACTTAAAGTGGATAAAGGTCGTACCTTTACTGCTATTTAACACCTACATTTACCGCTTAAATAGGCTGCTCAGTAGTATGTAGTTTCCACAAGATGTTTGTGCTTGATATTAGCAAGCGTTATCTAACTGGAATATAGACTTTTTCCGGCTAAGACCTCTGCGTAGTTCTCGGATAACTTAGCCTGGAGGTAACGATATTCATTTTTCTCTAATATGAAGTTCTGCTGATGAAAAGTATACGCTGATTCTCAAATTAAAACTTTTTTAAAATTATTTTTAGGCTAGTTTGCTTCGTTCTTCATTTTCAAACTAGCTTTTGAAGTATTTCGCCTTTTTGTTTCTAATCCTGAAACAGTTGCCAAAAATTTCTTGATAAAACTACGGTTTTTTTAGGTTTCCGGCATTCCAGTTTAGGCGTAAGCAATCGATTATGACAGATTTTTTTGACGCTTTGTTGTCAATTATAATTAATTATAATTAACAAAACTAGGTGTTTAAAGGATTTATAATCGATTATAATCAAAATGATTTCCAGGAGATTTTAATCTATGATAGCTCATACTACAAAAATTCATAATGTTCATACACAAAAAAACACTTCAAATCAATTTTAATCGATTATAATCTCTCATTTGTCAAAATTTTGTAACCACGAAAAACTGTTAAATTATATCTCATGCGTTAAAAAAAGTCTTCCGAGTAAATCAAGAAACTAAAGCAACGTGCTGATTTTTTGGTGCTTAAAAAAACTTCAGATGTGCATCAAGAACCAACTTCAATGAGAAATAAACAAATAAAAAACTGCAAGCTTGAATTGAATTGAAAACGTTTAAAGCATTTCTCTCACAGTAGCCAACGTCTACAAAAAATAAAAAATTATAAGCAATTCAGATGCAAGGTCGGAGACCAAATTGGCAAACAAAAGGGATTATAATTGATTTTTTGTGCAGAACATATCAATTAGAAACTGGGATGAAATTAATAAATTATATTCGGTTGTTATTGTATCAAAAAATAGATGGATCACTAACTACTCGATTATAACCGATTTAAAAAAATTTTATCGATTATAATTGGATTTAAAAAAAAAGAGTTTATACTCGATTAATAATTAATGAAATCAATTTTTTTTCTCAATTTTAGTAATTACGCTTGAAACTGGATGCGGGTTTGAGGTAAACTCTCGAATATTTTTTTTTCTATTGCCAGTGATGAAAGGCTTCTCTGATCTATGTGTGCTGCACGTGTTCTCTATTCATTGTAATTGATCAATTACATGAGAAGAAAAAGCTGGTACATGAACCTGCCGAAGTATATATTTGCTACTTGATCTGTAACCCTCCAAAATTGGCCAAAATGCAGAAAATTTAAAAAGCTCTGATACCGATACGATGATCCATTTTTTGGCGGTTAGTGTTTTTTCAGTAAGCAAAAATTTATGTTTGCTCAGGCTTCAGCAGAGCTATAATTTATAATTTTTAATGCTTCATATATTTCAACAGGACTGCTCGTATGAAGTCTAAGCCGTGAATGTTTGGACTGTCTTTTAGGGTTTATGAAACACTGTTCACTTCCAAAAAATTGATGAACTTTTCGGGGAAAAAAAAGAAAAAAAAACTTTAATTTTTTTAAATCATCCTTTTTCGCACCATATAAATTGATGGATTTCGCTCCTAGAAATATAAAAATTATGATAAATACCCTGTTTCAACCAATTTGGTACGATTTCTATGAGGGATTAAATCTCCGCTGATAGTTAATAATGTGAAACATATCGCGCGTTAATCGTCTCAAATTGGCTATATTAGTAACCTTTAAACCCACATAGTTTTATGAAAACAATCATTGGTAAATTATCTTGAGCTCAGGACATCAATACTTTTTGAATGACGAAAAAAATTCCGTCAAAAATGGCTAATTCCGTCAGAAAAAAGTCGAAATTTGCCTGAATAAAAAGAAACCACCCCGAGCACAAATATTCGGTTATTTTTGTTGTGAAATCGGTAAAAAACGCCAATCTCACAACAATGTTGATGAAAATGAAAACTACGAAGAAAACATTAATCGAAATTTTTAATACGTTGCGCTCGTCAAAACACTTGTTAAATGCTTCTGGATGCAACTTTAACATGGATTTTGATTTTAGTAACGGGGTTATAATTATATCCCCGTTAATAAAAACAAAATTCATGTAAATTTGTGTCAAGAAGCTTTCAACAAGTGTTTTGACACGTACAATTTATTTAAAAAAAATAATTGATATTTTCGTAGTTTTGATTTTCACGAATTTTTTTTCGAAAATTAGCGTAATTGAAATATATGAAGCATTTAAAACGAGATTAATATTAACCTTTGAGGCGGTTCTAACATTTGAGTCAGTTATATTTTTGATCAATGGTTAAATCTTTATGGAGCTTTCAAAGGCTTGAAATAGAGTAATTCGTTATAAGATATGCAATCAGTGATTGCATGAAGTTGAAAGATTAAGTTTGATTTCTCCAAAAAGTACTATAGGGTATGGGGTACTAGCAGACATTTCAGAAATCCAAGTCATTAAATTTTTCACCTAAAGGCTGCCTGTAACTTTTGACAGTGGTGGAGGTTCAAGAAATACATGGAAACGGAAACTAAGAATATAGCTTTTTGATAAAAACCATTTTAAAATTGCCTGGCAAAAAAAGAGTAGCCCCTGAAAATTTTGCGCACAGCGCGTATTCTTCTATCTACTAGAATTAAATAGGTAGAACTGGCCATCTTCAAGGCATCAGCTATATTTTTGGCCGCCCTGTTTAATGGCACTTTACAATGGAAAACTGCAACTTATAAACTAGGCTAAACTTGAGCTATATTGCGTTGCTCACATAGTGTTATATCAAAGTCAGCAAAAATGCGTCAGAAAATAAGACACTGTTTCGATATAGTGGCAATGTGTCGCTCCTGTGAAGTTGGTATCCAGCAGTTATTTGATTGTGGGTTCAGTTTACACGAGTGCTGCAATTGATTGGGTGCAAACTAGTTTGAAAATTTTGAAATGTTATAAGTTTGAAGTAGCAAAAAAATAACTCAAGCTGCATTAACAAGAGAGTTTCATAGATCATTTTATTGAGGAAACAACAAGTCAGGTTACGTATCTTCTCTAAGAACCACATTTAATCGTAACTTTTATTCGTAAATATCGCAAGTGAAAAGGAAAACTACTGACTCGGCTAATGAAATTAGAACTTTCGTAGAGTTCTCGTATTCGTGTATGAAGTTATTCTTACGGTTGCGAATTGCAAGTGTTATCAAATCGGAAAACAATATTTTTTTTCATGGTAAACCCAGAATTGTTTGATACCTTGATTCAGATTCAATTCAAATAAATCAAAAAAGTATCA